AGGCTATTTGAAATTGTAATACGTAACAAAGTAAACACAAATTTCTTTACTATTAGTATTTTTAACAGAGCAAAAACAATCAAGCACAATTCTGAGAACCAAAATGAATTTTGTGGTAGTATTATTCTAAAGAACAATCTCAAACAAAATCAGTTACCTAGAAAAAAGTTTGTCTTTAAACTTTAACATTATCTTGATCTTACCTTCAGCTGCAAAAATGGAAGGAGTAGACACAGACTTCTGTAATGGAGACCATGGTTCTAGAAGACAGATGGGTGACTTAGATCCTGGATCACTGCTGTCTAAACCTTTACTTTCCTCATGATGCTAATATAAACAACATTTAATGAAATATAACATAGGAAAAAACCTCAAAAAGCAACACAGTTCCCAAAGAAAATCATTCTAAAAAAGAGGGTTAAAGTTTTGAAAAAAATATCAAAATTTGGGTATAAACATTTAATTTATGATCTCATATATTTTGTCCAGTCATTGTATGTTTGATAAAATAAAAATAAAGCTTGGTGAAAATCTGAAGTGGAATTGGTTTCAGGTTGTTCATTGGATAGTTACTACTCATTTAGATACTTTTTCATATAAAATCAGGTTTATAAACTTAGCATAGTGTAACTGATCGAATATATTATGAATAAAAAAATCAATCATCCCTATTTTTTCGTAAGTGACCCTAAGTTGTATAACTGACATATGTAGTGACTATGTAGTTTGGTTTAGTATTCAGAATTTATGAATAAGTAATTATTCTATAATGACAAGCTAAGTCAGATGCATGGAGATCATGCTGAATAGAGAAGAGTTAACGAACTTAAAGCGCTAGTTATAACCATATCAACAATAGAGCTGGATGATTTAATCAATTCCCTATGAGTAGCAATTAGATCGATTAGTGTCCCATAAACTAATCAATAGATTAATGTGACAAAAGTAATCAACTAATTGAAATTAGTGTTTCCCATTATTAACATTTTGATTATTGCAACTGATTGATTAATTGGAATTAATTGTTTGGATTATTCTACCAATCAATGAATCAAAATTATGGTTAAATTGTCATAAAAATAATCCAATAATCCAAATTAGGGTTGTTGATTGTTCCAAATATCTAAGTACTAGAAATATTGTCATTATGTTTCTTTGTTGTTAAGCACAAAACTACAAAATGGGCAGCCCTCCCAGTGGCTCAGCAGTAAGTCTGAAGGCTTATAACAAAATAAAGTGGGTTTCCATACCTGTTGTGAGCACAGCAAAGAGAGCCCATTGTGGGGGGGGGGATGCTTCTTGATATGAAGGTCTCAGGACTGGTTCCCATTGGTACTAAATTTCCTTGTTGTGTCTTTGTTATTGCAAAGCTACTAATTTTATCTGCCAAGGTCACTAATTTTGAACTGTTGACTACAATGAAGACAACAGGCTGATAACACCTAGCAACTCTTAGGCTATTCAAGTATTAAATATAGCATAAATTTACTATTTGTTTGACACACTGGGTTATGTTTCTAACTTACAACTGCATAACTGTATTCTTTAATGTCATATAAGCAGGCATAAATCAGGAGGAGTGGTCCAAGAGAATTGAAATTTCCACTCCATCTCTTTCACCTACTGTGTTCACAAACTTATAACTATATTATGCAATGCTGTATAAAGAGGCGCAGATTTAAGAGGGTCCAAACCCCTCTATTTTTTTCATAAACTTATTAAAAAACACCCAATAATATCAAAGAGAAATATTAGATGTCAGTATTTTATTTAATTGATCTATTAATTGCTGTAAGAGCTTTTTCTTTTCAGTTTTTCTGAAGTAAACACAGTTGAAGTTTACAGCAAACTAGTTATAGATTCAGCTAATAACCGATTATTTGTATCAATTAAATGTTGCCACAGCAAATTTTCACACCTTGCCATTTTTCAGGCACTCTAACACTGTGTGTGTGCTCTAAACTTTTAGAGATTTGTTTTCATGAGTGTCAGTATTGATTAGAACACTTGCAGTTCTTATAACATAGACTTGTTACAAAATCTATTTTTAATTGTTTACAAGTTATAACACTCACAAAAAAAGATATTTTCATGCTGTTGATGTCCAAAATAAACCCAATTAAGTGACAACTTAAAAAAAATTGAAAACAGATATCCTGCTTATGAATGTTAGAATATGCATTAGATGTAGTCTTTACAATATTTTTCTAAATATAATTATAGATGTTTAATTTTAATTACAAAATTTGAAATGTTTGCTTTAAACCATTTTTTTTTTCACATCAATCACATTATTAGAAACAATGATATAAGCTGTGAAATCATTGGATTATCACCCAACTAAGCTTCTCGTAATTATTTTGCAGGCTTTTTGATTCATTTTATTATTAAAGATACCAGTAGCATGCAGTTATAAGTAAGATAAAAAACAAACATCATTCCTCTATTTCTTTTCTTTATGAACATCAGTACTGTTCTTCAAATATCATGTACTGATTTTTGCATGTGTTTTGAAAAATAATTTCATTTCCAACAATAAAAGAAGTATTCAACTAACTTACAAATGATGAAGCCTATACCTAAAACTAGTCATTTTTACTATTATTTTATTGTTGATGTTTTTAGGGTGATAAAGTATATTAACCTTACATAAATGTTTGTTCTTTTAAAATGTCACAAAGTAGTAATATATTTATTTTCATCAACAAAAAATTTAGTAGTTTTAATATAGTATTCTTGTTAAAATTTGTAGGGAGAAACCTACGGAATGCTATTACCGTATTTGCTGATGGATGTTTTTAGCAAATTAAGTTTATTTCTTTTAGGTTTGATGTGTAGCACAATCTCTATTGTCAAGTAAGAATAGGATGTTACTTTGCAAAGAAAGTCTTAGAAGTTAATTTTAAACTGTGCTAATCTGCACTCTGGAGTAATCAATACAACCACAAGTGTTTTTTTATGTTCAATGTGGCATAACTTAAGCCACGTACATGTAATAAACAACTTTACAAAGTTTTCATCACAGATGAACTCCTTTTATATAACAAAAAATATTAAACCCTAAGCTATAGTGATCTAATATAAAAATATGTTTACAAAATTAAGGTACAGTACAGAAACAAATTTTTTGATATAATATTAGCAGTATTTTAGTATGGTGGATGAAATCAATACATTTCAAATAAAAAATGTCTTGATTAATTGTAACTATCATGTGAGATAAATAACTTATAGTTGTGAAGAATTGAGACAAACAAAACAATTAGAAATATGTTATTGTAATGCAGTAGGTGGCACAATGTCAATGCACTTACTCAAGAAAAACAAAAAACAAAGTAAATGGAACAACATAGTTTTGGTTAAATATGCTATTAACCAAAGAGTTCTTACTGGAACACTATCTTTAAAACTGTGTATAATATGAGGGTTAAAAACAGGCATTATTTTAAGAGTATCATTCTATATACTCACAATTATCTTAATCATATTTTCAGGTTTTTGCAGGTTTTGTACTACTTTGAATGTATGATACACTTTCATGTATAACAGATTAGGATGAATAAAACTTATTCCTAAATTATTGTACCTAAAGACAGAACTTCCTCTAGCTTTCACATATTTTTGTCAAAATTTTAAGGCAATTGTGTGTGTTATTCTAAGTATTTAAACAATTTTAAGTCAAAAATGTTTTAAAATCAATATTTTGTCATATTCTGACATTTATTTATTGTAATTCATGAAGAAAAGTTAATATTTTCACTTCTGCACAGCTGCAAAGAATTTGGTTTTAAACAAAACAACATACATGTAGGTTATTTTTATAATTTTCCTGCCCATCCTAAAAAATAACTTTAATTTTACTAAGAACATACACCCCTTGAGAATGTATTATTGATTTCTTGATTTTCAAGCAATTCCCTTAGTTTTTGTACAAGTCTTGGTTGCCACCTTATTATATGTCACATTGAGTGGTTTAATCATATACTAATAAATCAAAGCTTTGAAAGCAACTATAAAGAAAGTTTAAATGTGATTGGATAGAACAAGAATTAGGCTATCACATATTAATAGAGTAAATATATAGGTTTAAGAATTTTGTAAAGTTTCTATAAATGTTTATTTTTGTTGTGAACTGTGAAAGCATTTGTGTGTTAAATTACATCTCTTTGAAAGTTACAGAAATTGTCTTTAATGAGAAGACATCAGATAACTTGAGATAAGGTAGGTATGCTTATACAGTTTATAGAGGGTTGAATCAGTAACAAAGAAAACTTGGAGAAAGTTTTGTCATCATCAAATTTAAGTAGTTTACCTAAACACAGAAATATATATAGAGAACAAAGCAAAGAAGTCACATAACTGGAGATTGGTTAAGGCTTAATAATGGTATTTTGTTTAAATGTGTTTTTATTTTCTAATAGATATATTATGGTTTTTATTGAGTTATAATGTTTGTAAGCATGAGAATTTTTATTATTTTCACCAAATGAGATTGTCATCAAATCAGACAAGCTTATTGTTTTGTAAGTATGGTAATGATAGGAAAATACTATGATGACTCAAATCTTTATTGAATATAATTTTTTGTATTTACCCGATTCAAACAATGTGCAGAAATAAATAATCTAACAGGCTAGTTAATTTTTTGTAATTGTAATTGTGATGTCTTAAATAAAAACATTATTAGACCTATCATGAGAGTAAAATCTGTTTTCCTTATTCAGTTATCAATTTATTTGATTTACAGAATATCAGTTCAGGAGATTACTGCATATTTTGAAAAGTAAACAACAGTGATCGCACTGTGGTACTTAGTCAACATTAGCAATTTATTCACCAAGTACAAAATGTCCATAAAACTTGTGTGTGAAAATGTTTTTCTTAAATGTGGAATTGGCAACCTTCAGAAGAGGTCTATTGTAATAAATCAAGAATAATTTGAAAATTACTTTAAGGATGGTAGCACATGTTCATTATTATTATTTGCTTGTACAGATTGTAGGAGACATGGTATACTAATCAACTGATAAAATGTAATTGATTAATCAGCCCATCAATTAATTGATTAGCAAATATCATTAACTAACCAGCTCTAATAAACAATAGCACTGTTAAAAAAAATTCAATGTTGCTGGTATATTCTAAAACAAAGAGCCAAAGTTTATAAAAGTCAATTTTACAATGGATTACACAAATTTAGTTTTATGGTTAGCTCAATATATATATATATCTTTACATTGCTCTGATGTTATTAAAATATACCTTGGAACTTCCAATAATGTTAGTCATACTGTGACCTGATGATCTGGAGCCTTGACTAGAAAGAGATACATGTGCAATTTCTTCACTTCCAGCTTAAAGGGGAAAAAAAAACAGCCATTTATTAACATAGCAATTCTTCAAGCTGTTAAAATAATAAAGGAAATTACAAGTCACAGATAAATTGCAAAGACAATGGTAATAAAGAAACATCGTGCTAAAGTAATAAAAAGTTGGCTGTTGATGTGTGCTCAGTCAATTAATATTCATCATTTTTCACATTTCCAACTAGCTTATACACAAGTGTCAAAAACACAACATTCTGATATACAACAATCCTGTAACCATGTGATCATACAATATATTACATCTTAAAATTATACTTATGAGGTGAATGAACTGCTTTAAAATGAAAAATTAAGGCCATAATGAGATCCTCATATTTATAGTAATACTGGAATTCATTTTAATGAACACAGCATACAGTGTTTTCTTTTTTTCCACAGTTTTATAAACTGAAAAATGGCTAGAAAATAGTTTATCAGCAATTTAATTTTTTAGTCCACTAATAATTCTGGGTTAGCTTGGAGAGTCCTTCCACGTAGATGGTGACACATGTACAATACACACAAATGCACTGACAACACTGAAGAATACTATAACTAACAAAAAATAGCTTTACAACCTAATTCATTCAATCTAAACCCAATGGACTTTAATTATGCTAACCCAAAGATAATTTTAAATATAAAGAAAGTGAAAAATGTTTCAGTATGCCCAAGTAGCTAGAACTGACCAGATTACTGATACCATTTATTATTTTAAAAAAATATTTGTAAAACACAAAAGAATAGTTTTTACTTGAAATTAAAGGTGCAATATTTGTTTGTCCATTTCTTTAGAAATGTACAAATATTAAATTTGAGTTAGTAATCCTGGTGAGAAAAGATGGTGTCACACTTCCTATTGGATATAAAGTTTAATTTGTTTCACCACAGCAGTTAACATCACAATGCAATTTCTATCCCAAAATTTCTGAAAATCATTACTATTTAGTTAATTTTTAGATTATGTAATGAGAAATTCTGTTGCTTTTTAAATAAGAGGATTTATGATAATTTTTCTGTAGATATGAAATCTTGAAAAATTTTCTATGCTAACCTGAGAAACTGCGCTGCTTTTCACGACTGAAGTCTCCATAATGAGGGGGTTTATGTTCTCTATGCTCTGTCACTATTCCTTGAATGGTGAAAGAAGGTCCATCCACAGCATCATAAAAAGCTTCTTCTGGGTCTGAATTTAGACTGCTCAGGCTCATGCTGCAGTAAATCAAATACTATTGTGAGTACAACTTTCAAATCTGTATTAGCTGTTGCTTAGTATATTGAACTTAAAATTTTACATAACATATACATTTTTTATCTTCTTGTAATTTGGTTATTTCTGAAAAATAACTCCATCTGAGTTATATTGTACAAGATATTAGAGAAGAGCTTCAAGGGTGTATATATGTATCTTTCTATGTATATGACCAAAATAATAAATAGAATGTGGCCCCATACTTTGAGTATTCAAGATCTAGACAATTAGAAAAATAACTACGGTATGTGCAACAACCATTCTTTATCACAGAACACAATTTTAAATAAAAGTATTCTCCCCACATCAAGAACATGACTTTCACTAGGACTGTACGTGAGGGTTTGTTTATATCTTTATTGATGTAATTTGTAAATATAGTACTGAGAAACTGAAGTTCTTAACAACAGCAACAACAAAAAAAAACTTGTATTTTTTACAATAAATGGTACAATTTTTAATATATAGAAACATTACAGTTTATATCAACACAATCCAAACACTTTTCCTGTGCAGTACTTCCCAGAAAAATCCTTTTTCAGAAAATGTTCACTTTTTCTAAATTTTTTTTCAAAGAGGTATGAATACTATGATTAGTAATTACTAGCACAAACAGCCACCAGTAAGACAGCTGCTCGTAGGGCAGTATTTCTGCTAGTATAATTAAGTTTTATTTTTAATACCTTTTTTTAATCACCACCTTCAGTTTTAAAATGAAGCAAGTAAAGGCTGAACAGTATCTTATAACATATCTAACCAGAGTTAGAGAACAACAAAAAATTATTTTTAAAGGAATTACATTAGACAGCAATGGTCTGCTCATAGAAACTTAACAAACTTAGAATGAAGCATAAACCCATACAATATTCTTTATGATTTTGCATGTAATTAGTCAAATACATAAAACGTTTGTAACCAACATTCCAAACAATTTGAGATTTCTGAACAAACCAGTATCAATGTACCTTCTCAAAACTTCCTCTCCATCACCACTATCTCCTTCGTGCATGGCTGACCAACTTTTTCGTCGAGGTAATCCTTTCTTTCCTGTTTTCTGAGCACACCTTTGGGATGAAGTGCCTCCAATATGTGCTTTAGAAGATGATGTACTAGTACGGACTTTCACTGATTGAAACTTATCTTCATTAGTGTTAACAAGGTTCAAAAATTCTTGTGAACTAGAAGGAGTAATATCATTGACCTGGATCTTGACATTTGTGGCTTCTGCTAATGTTACAGCCTTAACTGGATCTTTGGCACCTGGACAGGAAAGGTAAGTTTTCTGAGGTAGGTTATAGCTACTCATTGCGATGGGGCCTAACCTTCTTCCATTTTCATCTGGCTCTTCATTTATTCCTATTTACAAGAGAATGATTGAAAGAAATTAACAATATAGTGCAATAATTTGTAATAATAAATGAATTTCACATTTATTTTTCTTAAACGTTTACTATACAAGCTGTTTAGTGCAATAATTCAACTTCATAAATTGAGTCATTTATAATACAGATAATAAGGTAGTAAATTTTGAGAATGACTAAGAATAACTTATTTACGTATCACAAATCAATTACATCACTAACTAAACAAAACTTAAAATTATCTTATAAGCCGGCATAATAGCATAACCATAGGTAATCACATATGATGCACTAAAATCCTATAAACAGATAAAATTATATGCAGACATTTATAAAAGTTTGCACTGTATTTTCAATGTTGCACTTGTTTGTTGATTAAAAGAAAAACCAATGTTGGAAATTACTTTTCATGAATTGATAAAAATCGGTTGTTAATTCACTAAAATTATAATTTCAAACCAAACCTAATGAAATTAGAGGGGCAGCAGCATATAATGGTGATTAAACTAAGCATATAAGTAAAGATTTTTGAAATAGTTTACTTAAAATTTCTAACTAATTATGCCAGTGAAAAAAACTTTATCTGTGAATATAATACATATGTATGTATGTATTATTAAATAGTACTTAATAATGGGGATCAACAAGGTTTCTAAATACTTTGCGCACCAAAAAAAAACACTCTATCAAATTCCTAAGCGAAAAACCGACCATTCAAAGTATTGGTTATGATATATTTAGTACATATATATGCTAATAATACCCTAAAAACAATTCAAAAATTTCTAAAAGAGCAACTTTTTCATCTACCTACCTTCCTGATCATGTCAGCAGGGCTAGCCCCTACACATTTTGGACTATCACTACAAGATTTCTCCAGCTTATTTGACTGGTCTATGGGTATCTGCTTTTGATATTCCGATAAATATACACAGATTTTTTATAAATGGTAAACATATCATGGACGTACTTAAATATCTTTTGAAACCAATTCAACACAGCAGATGGCGCTAAATATCGTAATCCATACAGCTAAACCAAGCAATCTAAATTTGCCAACCAAAGTAGGGATTGAAAATCATTTTAAAATCTATCCAACTAGTAGCACTTTACTCTTTGTGTACTTTTTATTTCAGCATTTATTTTGTTTTAGATACTTCTTATAGCAATTCTATGAATAACAAACGATCCTTACTTTCCATTAAAATTTTATTTATTTTTCTTCCCTATTTATGGATATATAGGTATAAACACTTAAACAGTGAATGTGTATGTTACTTGAGAACAAACTCCTGCAGGAAAATCTTACTACAATTACAATATGATGTGTTTGTCAAAAACAGAATTAATGACCTTATACTAGAGATTTTATCAAAATAGATGGTATTTTGTTGTTGCTTGTGTGTCAAGATCAACTATTATTTCTATTGGTATATAGAAATTGATATTATATTGTATTATCCATATATATTTTTTACACATCGAAACATAATTTATAATAAAAAAATACAATTTTTCAAGTGAAAATTTTTCAATCATATTTAAAAGTATGAAAATATTCTCAGCATTATAAATATACTAATTAGTAAAAGTAATAAAATGAAGAGCTTAATATAAGTAGCACAGTTTGATCACTGTTTAGAGGGTGCAATAACCTGACAGGTCAATACTGAAAGTTTCAAAGACTAGAATTGTCATTACCTGTTAAAGTTAATTCTGGAGTTAGGCAAGGGCATGATGAGCTCAACCTGGTGGTCAGGCCTTTCTGCTTTCTCTGAACATAACAAATAAATACAGTGTTAGAGAATTAATAACACAAAATGATTGAATTCTATCTCTGGTCTACTAAGTGGATGTGTATATGACACTGTCTGTCGATACTTTCTTTAATGTAAAATATATATATATATTAGTTGTATGTGTACCCCAATACACTTTATTAGACTACCTCTACTCTAAGATTTCATGGAGAAAAGACAATACAGAGAAACTGTACACATTTACTATTGTAATATTTCTTCACTCATATATGTATAACTTTTCTTTTTATAACAGACTAAATGATACAAAACAGATTAAAATACAAACTATGGTGCGGCCACTTAAAAATATTTCTGACAAAAATAATTGACTGCTTTTAAAAGCACTGAGAAGTAATATTAGAGTTATATCACTTCATTCACCTTAAGTTTTGTCTCTTAGATTATACATTACATAGGATCTTAACTAAATCAGAGCTGAGGTGAGAGTAGTGATACAGTACCAACAAAATACCTAGATTTGTGCAATTTTTTTTAAGGTTATTACAGCACCAGAGTAGATATAAGTTTGAAGTTAAAGCACAAAGCTACACAATGGGCTATCTGTGCTCTGCCCACCATGGGTATCGAAACCCGGTTTCTAGCATTGTAAGTCTGCAGACATACCGCTGTGGGGGGTGGGGGAAGTAGATATAAGAGCCATGGTTAAACTTGTTTGTTGTCCATATAAAACTCTGACAATTTAAATTAATTCTATTGGGAACAGTGCCAAAAGTTTAGAAACAACAATACTTGTAAGTTCCTTCTAGCCAGAAATTGAGAACATGACAAAATAACAATTAAGTAAGGTAATCAGTCTTAACTGGTGCAAAACTTTTGTATAGGCAAAGCATTTTATGAGCATTGCATAAAAAAAATGTTTTGTTTAAATTGCATTTTCTCAGCATACATTATAACTGCTCTTGTATTTTAATGGCCAAAAGTTGCCAGATGTACAATACTTTATATAATTTTGCAACATTCAGTATCGAATTTTGAAATTATGACTATGGGTGGCAGCACTAAATTCATAAACACTTTTTACGATTTGTTTGTTTTGAAGTTAAGCACAAAGCTACATAATAGGCTATCTGTGTTCTGCCCACCACGGGTATCGAAACCCGGTTTTTGGCATTGTAAGTCCGCAGATATACCGCTGGAGGGCCACTTTTAACGAAGTGCTTACCTACAATGAATTAATTCAATTCAAAGAAATAGAGGACAAGTTTCACGGAGACGGAGTTAATTATGATACTATTCACATCATGCAAGTTTTAACGCCCATGATTCTTTTAAGTTAACACATTTTCAGTCACGTTCTGGCAATCTGCCATATCATATGGGTAAACTAAAATTTTTAACCTTGATATCTCAGATAAAGTAATTGTTAGACATGTACATATATTTATGTGACTGATCAACATTTTCATTATTTAATTAGACACAACCTCACTAGTGAAAACCTCAAGGTTGTAACATAAATGTTCTTAAGGCTGCGACGCAAAACCATGCTTCACCCTTTACTACTGGCAAGCTTACATCCAACGAGAATACCAGCCTTCGTTTTTATGTAACAAATATTTTTTTTTACTGTTACTGATAAAACACATTGAAATTAAAATTTCTAGTTACCAGAAAAAAAAATAAAAAAAATAGAAATTTCATTCTACGACAGAGAAAGATCAGTAAAAACTATATTATATTATGTAAGCTTTCAAACCTTGCATCCTGGTTAATTTGTTAGAAAAAAAAAGTAACAAGTATGAATTCAACAATTTAGTTTGATATCTTGGTGTAATACATAAATTGGCCCAGCATGGCGAAGTGGTTAGGGCACTCGACTCGCAATCTGAGGGTTGCGGGTTCGAATCCCCACCCCACCAAACATGCTCGCCCTTTCAGCCGTGGGGGCGTTATAATGTGACGGTCAATCCCACTATTCGTTGGTAAAAGAGTAGCCCAAGAGTTGGCGGTGGGTGGTGATGACTAGTTGCCTTCACTCTAGTCTTACACTGCTAAATTAGGGACGGCTAGCGCATATAGCCCTCGTGTAGCTTTGCGCGAAATTCAAAACAAACAAACAAAATACATAAATCATATACTCTCGCGTGACAACGTTTAATGTAAAGATAATCACATATACATAAAAACCCTATACTTATATATCATTGTGCAGTAAGTTAGGCACTGCTTCTTGCACATCCAAGATAGATAATATATTCACAAGCAGGAATAAGGATTCTATATAGTTACTTTGTTGACTGACCTAAATATACTATGATAGCTAAGCATATAACTTTTATCACCGTAGAGTAATTCTTATTTGGACATTGGCTTAAACAACTGATAATTTTACCACAGTATGGACACCACATTGACTAGAATGTGTAGTATATATACTTTTATTTATCAGTTTTTATTATTTCCAATTTTATTTTTCATGTCCATTATTTTACTATAGTGATTATTCTACACAATACTAATTTTGAATTTATTATTATTACCTTATCATAAAGACTATCTCAGATTGTAAGCTTAGTTTATGGGTTTAGGATTAATCTAGATTTACCAAGCTGAACGAGTAAAATATAACTTTTACTATGGTGTGACAGATCATATTTGAACTTCGACCTAAACAAGTGAAACTTTTACCACAATGTGGCGACACATACTGTTGGTTAAAATATTTAATATATCTAATTTAATCTTTATCATTTCTAACTTAATTTATGTTTATCATTTTATCATAATGATACTTCAGTACTATTAGCTTAGCATACGGATTTAAGATAATCTTAGCCTTTTGGACTGGTTAAACCTCGTGAAATATTATAGGGTTTACGGACGAAAATATTGTTAACACTAAAGGTAACTAAATAATAAAACAGTGGATTCTAATCATTATAAGTAGTACTGTTTCATTATTATAGTTAATATATTTTGAACATTATAATGAATCAGCTATTCACATTATTAAGTATATATGTTTAGTTTTGATTTAAGTAGCTTGATTATTTTGATCAGACGTTAATATTAATTTTTTATGTAGCAGCATTTCTCTATGCTTCATCTCGAAGTTCTGTAATAAGGCAGGATAGCAGAATGAAAATATAGATTAAGTACCTTACATACTGACAGAGTACAACAAAATAATCTGGGTTTTTTAATGATAATTTTTCATTTGTGTAGTAAACAGAAAATACATCAAATCATATCTCTTATGTGTTAGAAATTTTATAAATACAACAAAATAAGGGAAGAACTGGTATCAAGAAAATAATAAGCCACATCTCGCAAAGTTGCTGCTAAAAATAAAACAATAAGCCTTAACTGGAAGAGTAGCTATTAATAATAAATCATAATTGGAGTTAACAATAAAACAATATGAAGCCACAATACGAAAAGTTATTACAAAAAACAAAACATGATAACAAGCCACAACGGGAAGAGTTGCTGTTAGCGATAACACAATAAGCTACATCTGAAATATCTGCTAGTAAAAAATTGCTAATTTGTTTGTTAAATTTCGCGACAAGCTACTCGATGGCTATCTGCGCTAGCGTCCCTAAATTGGAACTGACAGACTAGAGAAAATGCAGATAGTGAACAATACACACCGCCATCTCTTAGGCTACTTTTAGCCATAAAACAGTGGGATTGATCATCAAATTATAACATTCCGTGATTGAAAGGTCGAACATGGTCGGGACGGGTTTCGATCTCGCGACCTGCAGGTTACGAATCAAGCGCTCTAACCAGTTAGAAAATACAGTTGGAAAAGTTATTGTTAGTGATAATGAAATAAGCCACAACTAGAACAGCTGTTACTAAGAATGAAACACAACAGCAAAAAGTTACTGCTAAAAAGATCTAAGATATCCGAGTACAAGAACTTGCTGAATTCTAAACTTTTCTCCAAAAGAACGGATTATTTAAAAATTATTAAATAGAAAAAATAATAAAAACTGAACTTTTACATACTTGTTAAGTACGAAGCATTGTCTAAGTTTTCATTCCTTATAACACAATTGACCTATGTTAGCCAATTTGTATTCCAAATATTAATTTTCTTAAGAACAAACTAATGAATACAGAAAACATTCTTTGGAATGGCGTCTACTCATCGCAGAAAAAGATAATATCATTTTTGTGCAAAGCCCTAATGTGCTATAATTTTGCCATATAAATTCTAGTTTCGCTTTGATTTTCTAACAGTTTCTTGTTATGGTACTTAAATATTTCTTCTGCACACGTCTGAAAATTAATATTCATTGTCAATAATGTCAACACACCATGGTGAAGCCACTACAGATTTCTAAGAATAGGTTTCAAACTGTCTGAAGAAATAAAGAGCAACAGACAGCAAGACAAATATGTCGAAAATCCGCGATAACGTGTATAATTTACATATCACACGGCTGATCTTTCTCAGCATGAAGTATCTGTTCAAGTTGGAACACATACATGCCTGATGCCTCCTTCACTGAATCGTTTACATCAAAAGCACCGTATATGATAACACGTATTCAACACGGCAGAAAGGTACACGTCAGGACGCAATTCTTGATGTGAAGTACGGCACAGAGGAAAGTTCCAAACAAAGACAAGCCTTTGGGAACAAGACTGACGTCAGCAATATTGAACGATGGACGACAACAACGCACACCAGAACAGAGGTACGGTTACTGAGGGTTCCGACTACTATTCTTGCCAAACCTCGAGACAATAGCTGTATTAAGCAGCTATTTGGTGAGCAACTTAAGTAACTTTTAAAAACGGCAAATATGCTTGATGAACATAAGTTTTTCGCTATAATTTTGTCCATCTCTCACTCATGATCTACTTCTATTCATAATGTTACTTCCGGTAAGCATGTAGGCAACAACGATAACAAAAAAGAAATAAAAACAAAAACGGTGTATGAATTTGATAGCTGTAACCTGCAGAAATAGTTCAGTCTCTAGTAAATTAAAGT